GGCAAAGGAAGACGTCACAACAAGTCAAATTCTGATCTTTGTTGCTGAAGAGTTTATATGGGACTTGCATCTGCATATTTTTAACTTATGGTAATGTCTTTGTAAACTCAGGAATAAAACCATGAAATAAACTCTATTTGTAAGCATCCTTTGTTGCAGAACCAGCTGGCTCAGTCTTCAATCTTGTACCAATATATTTAATTCATTTTCAACCACTGCTTGCGTTTCCATAATTCGTTAATACCTCATTGGCAGTACCAACCTCTACATACACCAGCCCATCCTTGGTGGGGAACATTCCATACTCCCACTTTTTCAGGGAAGTAACTCCACTCAGAAAATCAGCAAGCTTTCTGGAAATACAGCCAGTTGGAAGTCTCTGTTAAACTCTTTGTTAATTGTATGGTTGCTTACTCCTGACGAGCTCAGGTTAATGGACTGGCAGCGCTGAGGGACAGTGGCTGTTGGGAACAATAGTCCAAGCCTTTGGAGCTTAAACTCAGCTTAAGCCCCAAATTTCAGCATTGCCTAAACTAACAAACAGTATCCTAATAAAGAAGAGATGCAAGACATTTTAAATACTTAGGAATAGATAGATACATATTTGTAATTATGTAGTACCTGTAGACAACACAATTCTTACAAGTATTGTGTACCCCATTTTGGTATCCATCCATAATCAGGAGGGGTACATAAACTGAAATGTTTCTGAGAAGACCTACATGGCATACCTCAAGGAGTGTTTAGAAAGCACAGTGTACCACCAGAGACACCTGTGTCAGCTCTCAACAGGCGGGTGTAGGTGCTGGAATCGGTGTTCCTGTATCTATGCAGCACTGTTACCCTACCTACCCTTGTTAAGGTACCACCTCATCATGCTTTAGCATGGGAGCAAAGCTTTGATGATGCTCTCTGAAGAACAACGCACAAAGGAATAATAATAAATAGATGACTAGTGCATTAAGTACATTGTCATAGGACATAGGGACCCCAGTCATAAACCATATAGCGTGAACCACTATTACAAGTGAAAGCAAAAGGATGGTCCCTCCCTTGTAAATGTACCATTGAAGTACATGAGAAGAGAGAGGGATTTAGACGTTCTGACAGTAGTACGAAAAACCCCAGGCAATTGGGGTTGTGTGACAAGCAATGGCCTCAGCGCGCTGGAAGCTTACTGTCATCAAGGCTTTTGCAGGAGAGAGGGAGTTTTGACAACGAGTCAAAGAGTGGTACTGAATAATCATTTGTTTTGAAAATGATGAAGGGAGGTTCCCCTTAGCTGAAGTAAGCACAGAAGGAGACCTGAAGCTGCTGCTTTGGAAACACAACAAGGCAAGAGGGTAAGCTTGGGCTATAGGAGACCGATGTGAACTGTGAAGTGCTTTGGAAGTGAAAGCAGACAGGTAAAAGCATCTCAGATGACAGAAGAGAGGAGCCAGTGAACAGAGCTGGGAAGGGGGGCACACTTCGTGGGGAGGGGAATTCACTCCTGTCAGCTGAAACGGACTTTTCCTTTGCTTAAAATCTTGTAAATCAGATTGGCTATTTGTTCTAACATACATAGCTTTTAGAAACACGCATTTTACTAATATGAAACACACAGTTGAGAGATGCACAGGCTGCGGCTCATAAACTGAGCTGCCAGATCATGAATCTGCATCGCTTGTGCTGCCATGTTCATCACGGTGGCCTGCAGATGTGGCCGCAGAGCACTCAGGTGGAGTCATCCTGATGCGAGGCAGCCTACCCTCTGTTTCTGTCTTTCCCTGCAGAACCTCTGATTGTCCCTTTCACATCACTGCGAGATTTGCCATGTGCCAAAATATACCCTCCCTCAACCATGAGAAGGGCACGCATCTGATCCCGCACACATGCACCAGCCTGTAGGTGAAGGCTGCTGACAAATCCTGGTGTGCTACTGGACATCCTCCCCGAGGGGAGGACGACTACCTCTGTCACGACAGGGCAGGCAAGTTTTCCTTGAGTATATGTCCACA